TAGTGTATTGTAGATTAATCATTCTGTCCAAGACTTGCACATTAAACACTTTAAATCTTATTATGCAATTCAGTGTCTATTTTACCACCTCAGTGCCTCCATTTCTCGACACTGAGTACTATATTAATGCCACTTTTAAAAAACTTATAACGTAAATCCTAGTGTTTTCTTTAAAGCAAGATGTCATATGTGGGTAGAGTTGCTTGAGTGATGCTTCTTACCAGATCTGGGGGGCTGCCAATATTGCATTAATTACGTTTCATTGCAACCATTTAGTATTTTCCTTCTTTTATCTTCCTATCTTTTTTTTCAAAACACAGTGAGAACAGGGCTGGATGAAGAAGGAAGCTGTGCTGTCTTTATCTTTTTTGTTTTCTGTATCAAAATGTTATTCTTGGTTTCCAAATGAAACAATATACACTATATTTTTAAGAGTGCTGAGAGCGGTGCTTTGGGTGTGTGAGATGGAGGCATGCCTTTTTGTTCCATTTCTCATAATCGTATCCTCTAGTTCTTGTGGTGCGGATCACAAAGCAGATTTGCTACAGTATTCTGAAGCAACTTTGCCATAATCTGAATGCTAGTGGTTCTGAGTTTTTTTGGTTTTGAGAGAAATGGTGATCAGAGCTGCTTCTAACACTTCTAGGAACTACGCTGTTAATCCCTTCAGAATTTACATTATAAAATTGAGACATTTGGCTGAGAGGTTTTGCTGTTTCTTAGTAAGCTGCTATTGTGAACTTAACTTTTAATAAATGTCATTAGAGGACAGTGATTAAAGCTGTGAAGTTCCTGCTCTACCTCTGTCCCAGGGAGATTTGCAAAGGAATGGGAGCTGTGCACAAAAAAATGATCTAGTGCTGATGGCAGTAGGCCTGTAAGAAGAATATGGAAGTCGCTGAAAACTAGAGAGGAGGAAAAGGTTCAAAACGGATCTAGAAGATGACCTCCAAATGCTTCATAAATGTTTTCTCTCAGTTGCTGCTTTTTTACGGAAAAAGATATCTACGTTTAGAGAGGGCAGAAATTAAAAACTCGAACAAGAACTGTTGTAAACTATGAGTGAAACCAACTTTGATGCGGCTGAAGGAGGTGAAGTCGTCCCGCCACCGCCTGGGGCCAGCCCCCCACCGGCATGTCCGCAGGGCCTCCGGGCTTTTCCCGAGTGGAGCGGGAGGGAGCTTGAGGCCATACCCGGAGCCATCAGCAGGTGGCAGCACAGCTCCTGGCACTAACGCAGCCGGAGGGCGAGCGGCTCTCAACGCAAATTTTTGCTGATTTTTTGTTTGTTTGTTTGGGGTCTTTTAAGTCCCGAAGAGCTCGTTTGGTGTAGCGAACACAGGGGAGAATATGCTCCGTTCCCACAGAAGCCCCCTCGCTCCTGCCTCGACATGGGCTAATGCCGTCAGGATTTTTCACATTGCAGGTTTTGCACACAGTGAATTTTTGGCTCTTTAATCAATTTCGTTTGTTACAGAAAAGAGTAAAACGAGGCCTCTGCAAGCCGTTGTTACAGGCCTACATGTACAAACACACATGTGGCATATGTTTGGAAAAGATTGGGTTTCAAAAGGACTTATGCCCTTCCTTGTAACTCAAACCAGAGACGCTGCTCGTGCATTTCATTCCTCGGTATCCCAGTCAGCGCTCTTCTTGTTTTGTTAAGATTAGCTTTGAAAAAACTACCCTAAATTCAAATTTATATGTTTGCAAAACTTTGTTTACATATGAAAGCCTAAAACCTGTGATATAAGCTAAACTGCTGAGTGAGGCAGCTGGTATTTACCTACAGCAATAAATGCCAATTGTTAAACCTCAGTGCTTGCTTATGGGTGAGAGTTGTGTTGCTGTATAGCAACGCCTATATGACACTTGTCTTGTAATGATAAACTATAGTTCACTAATGCTATTGTTCTTAGCCTTGCCTTTGGGAGAATCTTTGTTTTGCTCTCAAGTTTAGTGGCATTCAATGCTCCATAAAAACATGTCAGAGAGAATGATAAAAATGGACTCATAGTGGGTAATTCATAGGCCTGGGATTTCTCTTGTGAAGAAATTTTAAACCTCTGCTCAGCTCTGATGCAGAGGGTGCCTTAGAGTCTGTGTCTGCCTGGAACCAGAAACACTGGTTTTGTAGACTAATTGCAGTTCTTAGTCCTGGCAAAATCAGTCTCAGTAAGAGCCACACAGAATTTTCAAGTGTTCTCACTGCAGTGGATCAGCAGAATTTGAAGGCATTTGTCGTGGGATGTCTTTCTCCTTTTATTTTTATTATTAATTCAGTTGTTTTGTAGCTAGGTCACTTCAGCGGAGGGTGAGAACAATGTGGCCTTGAATCCCCTAAGCTAGAAGGGAGAATTAAAAGTAGGTCTGCAACATTCAGGCTGAATGTTAAACCACTGAACAATTGAATAAGGGAGGGTGGAACCATCACAGGCAGCTGTGTTTCTTACTGTGCCTTTTTTGCTTTTTTTTTTTGCCTTTTTTTTTTTTTTCTGGCAAATGAAGGAGCTTAGGCAGTAATTCCAGCAGAAGGAATAAAAGAGATCAATTCTGCCTGAAGACTCTTTCCTGCTCTTCAAGGTGAAGCTCCCAAAAGCTATGACTCACATATGGGGTTGGGATGCTTGTTTCCTGTGGTTGCAGAGGCAACAGAGCTGAACCCTCCATGAGTTTTAGCTTATAAACCGTTTCCTCTCCAGGACTGCTTGTGAGAAGCAGTGCCTCACCAGGGAACTGTCTCACACATCCTGTATCTGGCTTAACACCCCCCACGCAAACTCCCGTCAGTGTAGGTAATAACTTGTAAAGGTTCTCACCGCCTTTACACTGATTGAATGTCGTGTGCTGTAAGCTGCTGTGGCTCAGCACCTGATTATCCTTCAGCAACTCAGCTGTCTCTGTACCAGGGCAGTCATTTTCTGAGCTGTGCTGTCCCTGCTTGTGAATTACACCCCTAACTCCGGTAGAAAGGGCAGTGGTGACTCCTTACTTCCTCTTCAGTATTTCTTGTTGATGAGATTCAGCAGATCCTTACTCAATATGCTTGTTTTAATAGTTACTAATTTTAGAGCCTAATTCCCCCGGATGGGGAGAGAGCAGCATCTGTCAGTCTGGCAGGCACGCCTCACTGTGAATAGTACCAATGATGTCAAGCATTCTTCCCTGCCATCTAGATACCAAGTAGCAGCTATTTAATACAGCAACATCCAAATGTCAAATAGAACGGTGCTTGGTCTAAAAACTGCGGGAGTCTGAAGAGAATTCCTGTCACCAGGGTGGTAGTGTCTAAATCCTAGGCACTTGGTCTGACCTTTGCAGACGGTTTCCTAGCGGCAGGCATGGCTCATACTGCGATTCAAATAACCTTAGCTAACTGCTGACTCATCTGTAGTTCCACTCGGTGCGTCCCACTGCTTAAGTATAAAAATTGTCTCAGTAGCATTCATTAGCTGTGAAAGGCAAACCTAACTAGAGTTCCTATGTAATCATCATGAGATCAGAAGTGTCATGCAAACTGAGTATTTAAAAACATAAAAAAGCGTTCACAAGACTTCAATAGGGATGCATACCAGTCACAGCAGGCTTCTTTCAGTGAGTAGGTAAGACTTGCAAATTCAAGATACTTGCAGCTGGAAACTTCCTTTTCAAATAACTGCAGGTCACTGTGACATTGGAAATGGTTGCAAAAAGCTACAGTGAGACCACAATCATGGCACGCTGCACCACCCCTCCTGCCCTCCCCTCCCCGCCCCACCAACACATACACAAGATTTCCTGGGAAATCTACTCAGCTTCATGCCCCACAGCCCTAGCAAGCTTCAAAGCTACGGGGCTGGAGTTAGTTAAAAGGAGAGTTGACAAGTTTCATGTTAGCAAGATAAGCTCCTGAAGTTCGTGATACATTTTTGGAAGAGAATTAAATGGAACAAAATTACTTGTAGCTAGTGCTTGCCTGTTTCGTTCTTTTACTGATTCAGGGGATAAGGTATTGTATCTTTATTAGAAACTGAGATATATGTTGTGCAAAACACAAGTTATAACACTATTATTGCTATCCTGTTAGCAAAGACAGGAACTTGGCCATGAATCTAAACCCTTCTACTTTGCCTGCTCTCCTTATCTGCTAATTAAAAAAATATTAATAAAAAGGTAGCAATGCAATTTTCAATTGTCAGAAGACAACATTTCTTTCAGACTTTGACTTTTTTTGTAATTAAATGAACGTGACCTTATAACAACTAACAATAAGTAGTTTCTCCACTCTGACAAGTCTAGGTAGGCAAACTGTTGTTTACTGGTGCTTTTTAGCACATTCACCTATTCCACAGCCTCTGCCCAGGTGAGACAGAGAACAGCAACACTGTTACAACTGTATTTGGGGATGCCCCACTAATTGCAGACCTAAGAGGAAGGAGGAGTCATCAAACTTGTACAAAAGGATGAGTAAAGAATACACTGCAAAAATGCAGAACTCTGATTGGAAGATGACTAGGGACTACCTGAACCCCCAAAGAGGAGGATAAACTGGTGCCATGAAGTGCAAATTATAACTATGCAATAAGCGGAAATCCCATCTGATAACAGCTAATGCTGAATTTGGAAGCAAGTTGCAATGTGGATGAGACAGCAATCAGAAGACAGTGATGAGGCTTGTAGGAAGTACTTGGCTTTACTCTGTTTCTGTTGCAAAGCATGCAGCTTGCTGCCCCTGAAATTTTCTGCCCCAAGCTCTGGACACAGATTTTGGGTGGCTGAGTAGCCATCTAAACTAATGAAGATTAAAATACCAGAAAGATAAGATAGGGGCTGAGGCACTCAAGTATTTCCTGATGCAGCTGAGCAGAGATATGACTCCCTAGTTGAGATACCAGTAGTCAGCCTTCTCCAGAGGCTGGACACCAATGCCTGGTCAACAATTTATGTAGCCCCATACTTTGGCAGCCGACAGCAGCTTTTTCAGGGTTCTGTTTCCTATCTGATGTTTGAATCTGTCTCCTCTCTTCCCATCCTTAATGCAAGCACTTGAATGCCTTCCACGTGTCAGGGGCCTGCATCTACCCTTTCTGTTACAAGCCTTACATACACATGATGAAGGGTTAAGACCTTCAAGAAAGAAAGGCATTCCCTTCCCTATTTTGTGTACCACACCTTGGGCCTCACTTTGAGATAAGATCCAAAGCAACTAATAAGTTGTAAGGCAGGCTTTGCAAATTTTGATGAGCAAAAATTCATGCACCGCCAGGATTAAAGAGTATTTCAGTGGCAGCTTTGAAAATGCTGTACCTCAGACATTTCAGGTTCTTGGGTGAAAGTGCAGATCGGATTCTTGTGCACACCTCTGGATGCAGAACACGTGACAAAACTGTCATCTGAGGGCAGTGGGTGAGTGTGCTAGGAGAACAGGAGATTCTTCTGGCTGATGCTCTTAATAGTGATGCCTGGAAGATCTTATCCTATGCCAGATTTTCAGGGCTGGTAATTATGCCTCTTCCACTGCTGATTTTAAGAATTGCTAAGAAAGAGTAAGGATCAAACAAAGGGGTTCTGGCTGCTTATTTTTGCATGGCTTTCCCCACTTGAAGGGTACTTTACACCTGGGTGATTGACTGGATTATTCTTGCCCAGGACAGATTTAGTGCTCACACACACCCTTTGCAGGAATGTTTTTGTTACCTACTGGTGTTTTTTTAAGTGACTATAAAGGCAAGGAAAGCATTTGGGAGATGCTGTTACTATGAATGGGTTAGGGTGTGTTTATTTTAGTTATTTCTTCTCCTTCCAATCCCTTCATGCCTTCTTTAAGCCTATTCACAGACTGTGCTTCTACAGGCAAATTGTACTGAATTCACTGAGGCTCACCTAAAAAGGCCATTTCAGCAACATTATGCAAGCTTCCAATATTTACTTTACATACCAATACATAATTCTGGCTCATTCCTTGACTCCCTTTTTCTTAGCTTTGGGGTGTGGGATGAGTTCTTTTTTTTTTTAAGGTACAGTTTGCTTGAGTTTCAGCCTCTAATCACTATTACATTAATGACTTACCTATACAGTTTGCCCCATTTTCTCTCTGTGGCATCTGAAATTTTCATTTGGTGTATTTCCTTGCATTTCTCTGCTATATGCTGCTGATGTCAGTCATCTGTGACATCTGGGCATGTTCTTACATGGTGCACAAAGGTTCATTCCAAGCTTTTGTTCCCAAAAGCCAAGGAAAAAAGCACTGTATAAAATCTGTTTAGAACAGAAGTTGGTTGGGGACAAGAAGTTTTATCCCTGAAAATAAAAGCAATGTGGCATGAAGGTATTTGTAATATGGGTTTCTTTTAATGAATCTTAGCCACTTAGTTAACTGAAGACATTAAATTGGTCTTTCCCTAAAGTAAGTAATTAACTTTCAACACGGAAAATTAAATTGCTTAAGATTATTACACAGCTATCTGAACAATACTTCTAGTGTCTTGTTGCTTTTATTGCTTTTTTTGCCCCTGGCATTTTGTATGTAATCATCCAGACACCATGAGACATATTGATTAAATAATTTGGGCCCCTTTGCACAGTACAATCTTGTTTTATATAATCTTATGCAATATGTTATTACTGTAGCTAAGTACTGAGTAAGAACAGAGTTAAGAGAGAAACTTTGGGCAATGTCAGTCTATTCTATCATCCACAGCCAGAAGTAGTTTGGACTCCTAAAGTAAGCTATATCTTATATACATAGGAAAAAGACTGACTCCTGAGTTGACTTTAGTAGATGTTTTGATATTAGCCTAAGCATATTTCCTCTTACTACAAAACCTGTCTGAAGAGCAACTTCTGTGCCAATGCTCCCAGGGCTCTAGAGAGGTGAACAGGTCTCTCTCCATGTTTGTACAATGTCGAGCAAAATGGGGGTTGGGGGGTGTGTGTGAAAATATAATTTCATAAGGCACTTCCATAATAAAAATAATGAGCATTTTTTCAGTAGATGTAACAAAAGCTATGTTTAAACAGCTTCCACTGGGCCGTCTCTAATTCATAGGAACAACAGTTTCACCTCTGGCTTTGGCTAGTCTGGTTTAGCAGCTTTCTGCTAGCAATGTTGTAGATAACAAGTGGCAACCAAAATATCTCAAGGCTGCTTTATCCTATCTTATCCCCCAGCCTAATGACAAAAGAAGACAATTGGACCTTGTTTGCTAACTACATGTTGTGCTTTATCTTTCATTTTGGCTTATGTTGTCATCATGTTGCTAATCATCATTTTGTGACACTCTCTGCACAGCTCCCCCACTGCAACATGGGCATGGTATCACAAAAGAGCAAACACAAGCGTTGGCACCTGTTGACAACTGTTGTTTAGAGGGAAGTTTTTCCTTTTGCCAGCCAGTGAAATATCAGAACTCCAGGCCACTAAATAAATGCTATTATCTTCATCTGGGCACCATATGGTTTGCGTGCTCTGACTGTAGATGAGCCACAGCCCTCCAAGCAGTCAGCTGAGAGACCTAGCTTTCAGCCTCAGTAGCTATCTGCTTTAGCAGCAGTAAGGATTCCACAGTGGTGTGCTGTTAAGAGAATCAGGAAAAGCCTCTCATAAAGTACCAGAAGGATTCAGTTCCCTCGTAGAAGTGCTGAAGTTTCTGCTGACCCTTCCAGGCATGGATGAATAAGTAACCTAGCTGTTTAACATCACTTGCTCTGCACAGCCTACAGATCTGCACCCTGGGGTATCTGCAGCTCTGATGCTGTCTCTGAGAACTGATCTTGTACTCAAGCGACCAAAACTGTGGCTTAAATGACCTCATCTCATCTCAATCTCATCTCATCTTATCTCATGCAGCTTTTATCATATCTTGCAAAAGAAGTCCACTCTACATTGGAGTCTTGCTTTGGCACCATGCTTGAATGGACAGAACCAACACGTGCATAGCTGGAGGTGACTGGGTTAAATGTGTCAACAGGCTGAGTCCTTTCATGAAGAGAAAGAGGAAATGAGGTCTGAATTCCTAGAGTAGCACAAATTAGTGAGCTACTAAGAGCTCCCAGAGAAGTTCCCAGAGAGCCTCACACTTAACCCAGGTAATTATAGCTGCAGGTGGCTATACGCATGAATCATGTAGGTGAAAGTAGTGCTGAAGACACAGCAAGACTGGTTTTATAAGCCTAGGAACTCAGCTCAACTATTAGTCCACTATTTTATTTACCTTACTGGCAAGACACCCTCAATCCTTGCACTAAAAGCTAGCCAGAGTACAGTATGCTATTGCCATTTAAAACACCCAGGACTGGGACTAGATGTATTGGCCCAACCCTAGCCTACATCCATGCAATTAATCCAGTACACATACATGTCTGACAGGGAAATTTTGGCTCTGTGCCTGCAACTCACTTTTTAACAAGTGAAGATCTGTTTCAATCCTAAAGGGTTACAAAGGCACTTCTGGTTTTGAGAACATGACATAACTATGGTAACAAATGACTTCATCATCTACCAATAATGTCTACCAAGCATGTCACACAGGTTTAGCAAAGGAACTTAAAACTTTAAGATTTCATAGTGAACTTAGGCTTCAAACTCTTTAGAGAGTGAACTGCACTTTTCTTGTCCTACCTGCTTAGATGCCTGATTGTCTGATCTTTTAATTTACTTTTTTTTAATAGACGACTCATAACATATCTAATGTTCTAGGCTGAGCTGAACAGCTTCATTGTTATTTCCAACCTAAAGCCACATTTAGTTTACCATATGATGATGTCTATGGGCCTAAATTGTGTCCTGCTCCTTCACAGCCTGAGTCCAGTAATATGCTGAACATGTTTAGCATGGGTGGACACCATGGAGTTAAGCACAAACTCAGGGCCATCTCACACAAAATCATGACTGATGAGACTCAGGACTTTTGTACCTCAGCTTAGTATCTAGAGCTTACATATGGCAAGTAGAGACCTGGGTGCAATTTCCTTTTGAACCTGAGAAGGCTCAAGCATCTTAAAGCAGAAGCTGTCCTACAATGAGACCTTTTTCTACTCTTCCAGTTGAAGCTGGACTTTTAAAGGATTGTCGGATTCACAGGAGGACAATGGAAGACACAAAGAGCCAGCATATGTGCCCAGCTCTGTAACTCAGAAGTTTCTGAAGCACTTGGGCTCCTTCAGTGTGAGGCCCAAATCAGTTCATCTGTTTTATTCAAAGCAAAAAATTCCTTATAAGAAGCCAGGCCTGCATTCTCTCCTGAAAAGTATCCTTATTGAACTGTAAAAGTGGGTTCAGAATTATATTCTTTTTTCCACTTTCTTTTCCACTTTGTACATACCCTTATTATTGGCATTTCTTTTTGTCCAATTAAGAGACTTCCCTTCCTAGTTTGATGGTTGATACCAGTCTCATTTTTGAATATAAAAATTTTTCTTTTTATGACTATAGTACTGGTGAACTGCAGACGCAAACTGGGTGTTGGGACTTCATTTGCTGCATTAGTCATTATGGCAATTCCTAACATAGGATCTGAGTTATTCAGCATTATTGAATTTTAAATATGTCCTACTTCAAGGAATACATTATTCTAATTTGTGAACGTCTGGTGTACAAATAGAGGTTAGGATGAGATGCCATCCAAAGGGACCTTGACAGGCTTGAGAGGTGGGTCTGGAAGAATCTCAAGAAGTTCAACAAGGCCAAGTGCAAGGTCCTGCACCTAGGTCAATCCCAGGACAAATACAGGCTGGGGACTGAATGAATTGAGAGCAGCCCTAAGGAGACAGACATGGAGTTTTTGTTGACAAGAAGCTCAACATGATCAGGCAATGTGCACTTGCAGCCCAGAAAGCCAACCATAATCTGGGCTGCATCAAAAGCAGCACGGCCAGCAGGTCGAGGGAGGTGATTCTCCACCTTTACCCTGATCTCGTGTGACACCACCTGGAGTGTTGCATCCAGCTCTGGGGTCCTCAGCACAGGAAAGACATGGACATGTTGGAGCAGGTTCAGAGGAGGATCATGAAGACGATCAGAGGCCAGGAACA